ATGATCCTGAATGAGATATCAATCAAATTGAAGCATCATTATGTGAAGGGAGGAATGGGTGATGTGACAATGAAATAACTTGTAATCAATCGATAGAGATTAATCAACGAGCGATAGACAAAGCTAGTCATCATCTAATTAGAGAGGGACGTGCTAATGCAGTAAATGATCTGAAGATGATGATGAATCAACACATATCTAAGTATAAGTTGCTCAGCCGTTAGCGTTCATTCATATTATCTTAAGACCAGGCAATTTAAAAACAATAAGGGTTCTAAAATCCCACAGAAAGTTTGAAAATTTCTAATCTTAATTGCACCATAATCCTCTATTAAACCGAAAACCATGCAAGAGTGAGCTGAATATTAACAATCGGGCATTGTCTGGGCTAACTAACGATATCAGGGCGTAACTTCCTAAGGCACTTAGCACAAAGTAGAAAGACGAACAGAAGGTTCACTTGTATTACTCGCTTCTTTTGATTATGGATGTCACTAAGCCTAGGCGCAGACCATCGATTTTTCGTCGGCCGATAGTTTAGTCGGGCAGTTGATCAGTATGGGCATGTATGGAAGTGCGCACATTACACCTATTTGATTTGGCCGATTCTTCATACAATTTAAAATCGGGCACAACTATCGGCCAACTAAAAATCGGTGGTCTGCGCCTAGGCTTAGGTGAAATTGTGCTACACTGGTAGTGTAACTTAAAATAGTCACAGTGTCACAGTTGGTATAGCACATTGATGCAGCACTTTGTTGTACTGGACTGATTACACAGCATCCTGTATGACATTCACATCAATTTAATATGATAGACTGCCATAGCCGAACGGTCAAGGCGTGTCGCGTCGGACTGGCCGACTCAAAATTCGAGGAACGCGGTTCGAGCCTTGCCGCCACTGTACTTACTGTGGTGAACCCACTACTAGCGAATAACACAAACATATTTTGCTTAGCACGAGAGGCTGTACGTTATCGTTACGAGCAGTTGTCTTAAGACTAATTCTTATAAGATCATCAAAATATCCTACCGTTCCTTCCTACATTATGGACTGGGGGTACAAATTCGTGACACGAGGAACTTGGCCGGGCCAGCTCTGCCCATTATGGAGGCCAATAGAACTGTCCGGGCACTTATTAACGGCGGCCGGACAATGATGCTAATGCCATTAAGTGGCCCGTTCACAATCAGAAGCGCTGCGTTTGAATGCGTCTTGCGCTTTATTGCCAGTGCATACGAGTACGTTTGCTCGGCTAATATGAGCAATCGTTTAAAATTACTGCACGGAACATTTTCAGAAAGAGAAAAAGGGAAATGTATAAAATGGCTTCACGAAGCAATATTCCACTTTGTCAACCCAGGTGAACAAAGTGGAACAATCCTTCACTAACACATAATGAAAGCTTTTTTAAAAGCTCTAATATGTTTTGAACAAAGGACGGAATTAAGGTGCAAAATGTACGGAGCACATTTTGGTTTACTTACTTTAAATGGATTTTTTTAAATACATCTTATTCCATCGTTAGTTTTTCGAGTTATTATTACAATGCTTTAAAGTCTGAAATAACCACTAAGATGACGCAGTGTTTAGCTTAATGTGCCGTCATCCGTACCTAAGTTGAATTAATTAAAATTATTTTGTAAACATTCAGAGCACTACATTAACAACTTAGATAAGACTGTGTCGAATGCGCGTCAATGATGAATTTTGTAACTGTTAGATAAGGAACGTTTCTTGGTTAATTTATCTGTAACATTTCATTCATAATGACCTCAATAACGATTAATTATATTAAGAGTCTAATTGGTAAGAGAAATAGAACAAGATATCGATTCATGATGGTAGAGCCGGAAGAAGAAAGTATAAACCGACTTGAAACTTTTTTTCCAAGATTAAATTCCATGTATTTTTACAGGAATCTAAAATTTATACCAATGTAGTCAAATACCATTTTCCCTTGCGACTTTCTTATAGTAGTTCCGGTTCCCACGACTTATTAATGACTAGGCAAAACTTAGCGGAGGCTCGTTCCTTTCATGAGAGGGCACCCATTATACGGTTCATTTGCGGCAAAAGACGAACGGCTGATCAGAGACAAGGCAAGGAATGAAAACAGCCAGGTCATTAGAGAATGGCATTGTTTTTACTTTTTTGTTTGGTTCAGAAGAATTGTTTTTGTAGAGATGTTGTTCAAAACTTTGGAAAACGCGAAAGTAGCTTGTAACTGAACTGAACATATTCATTTTGGTCAGACGTATGTAGATTGTCTTTGGAGATTTTGTCGCAAATAAAGTATTTGAAAAAAATAAGTGAATATTTTTTATGGTAAAACCATCTAGTTCTAAGTTTGAGACAAAATATGAATATTTATGCTTTTGATAATAACGATATGTTTTAGAATATTTTAGATTTTACGACTTTGTGTTTTCCGTTTGTGACCGCGAGACGCAATAAAAACTTTTTGTCATAAACTAAATCCACGCGAACAGAAGCAGACATAAAAGAACATTTGCTTTAATTAACCTAGTTTATTTATTCCCATCAAACACTGATGATGGAAACTGAGCGCCAGTCGCCTTCTAAGCTCATAGAGTTTGCAAAGCAACTGCATTTAACATAGTAAAACCTAGTTTATTTATTGCCATCAAACACTCACGATGGAAACTGAACGCCAGTCGCCTTCTAAGCTCATAGAGTTTGCAAAGAAACTGCATTTAGCATAGTAAAACTTAGTTTATTTATTGCCATCAAACACTGATGATGGAAACTGAGCGCCAGTCGCCTTCTAAGCTCATAGAGTTTGAAAAGCAACTGCATTTAGCCTAGTAAAACCTAGTTTATTTATTGCCATCAAACACATAATGGAAACTGGGCGCCAATCGCCTTCTAATCTCATAGAGTTTGCAAAGCAACTGCATTTAGCACAGTAAAACCTAGTTTATTTATTCCCATCAAACACTGATGATGGAAACTGAGCGCCACTTGCCTTCTGAGCTCATAGAGTTTGCAAAGCAACTGGCTGATCTCCACCCACTCCATCGGAGGCGAGCAGCAAATTTCGCCGATATAATCACCCGGTAAGACAATGGTTATCTCTGGCGCGATACCCGCTCCGATAGCGGGCAGGGCTGATGGATGCGGCACGCCCGGCAGATACCATCTTCATCGTGACGGTACCACTCGTGTGCACCAATTATTATTCAATATGGCACTGCAGTTCGCTGGCTTGGTATTGGGATCGAGCGTTTGATATGTGTCAGTTTAAAGTTAGATAGTAGTGGATCGGTATGTTGACAGCGGTAACGATTTTTAAGCAAGTTTGGAGGACGACTCGAATTAAAAGAATAAGCTACCGTCTACCTATAGATGATATCATTTATTTGTCAAGTATTTAGTAGTATTTTACAGGACGTCGCGACCGGGACTTTTCACAAAGCATTTAATTTTAATTTGAAACTAGGCTACCCCAGTGGTGAATATACACCCTGGGCATCCCTGGAGGTGTCTTGATGAGACATGCAGAATATCTCCTCCACTGAATCACCAATTTTATTGCAGAGTGGCACTGAATACATTCTAATGACTAAGAATGAAGAGCCTGAGTGTCTTTCTCCAAACGGTCAATTCAAAAGGCCTACCTTAGGCCTCAGCCTCGAACTTAGCGGGCAGCGGGGCGGGAGCGGCGGCGGCGCTGGAGCGGGGCGGGCAACGCAGACCCGTTCTCGAAACAAGCGGGCAGCTCGCGCGGCGCATTAGCGGTGAAGTGTTGTGTTCGGGGTTGTGTTGTCGAGATATTTGTTTTTATTCGCAAACGAAATGTCTGAACAACGGCGACAATTTTATTTCGATTCAAATTTATTCCTAACGCTCGATTTACTGTGGGCAAAAGAAGGAGTGCGCTGCCCGCTCGTTGCCCGCTCCCTCGCCGCTGCCCGCTCGTTGCCCGCTGCCGCCCCGCTGCCGCGCCGCTGTTTTCGAGAACCGGTCTATTTGATTTTACGCATAAGGCCTCAGCCTCGAACTTAGCGGGCAGCGGCGCGGGAGCGGCGGCGGGGCGGGAGCGGCAGGATCTTATGCGTAAAATCAAATAGACCGGTTCTCGAACACAGCGGCGCGGCAGCGGCGCCGGAGCGGGCAACGAGCGGGCAGCGGCGAGGGAGCGGGCAACGAGCGGGCAGCGCACTCCTTCTTTTGCCCACAATAAATCGAGCGTAAGGAATAAATTTGAATCGAAATAAAATTGTCGCCGTTGTTCAGACATTTCGTTCGCGAATAAAAACAAATATCTCGACAACACAACCCCGAACACAACACTTCGCCGCTAAAGCGCCGCGCGAGCTGCCCGCTGGTTTCGAGAACGGGTGTGCGTTGCCCGCCCCGCTCCCGCGCCGCCGCCGCCGCCGCCCCGCTGCCCGCTAAGTTCGAGGCTGAGGCCTAAGATCCTGCCGCTCCCGCGCCGCCGCCGCCGCCGCCCCGCTGCCCGCTAAGTTCGAGGCTGAGGCCTTACCGTTAAATGAAAAAAGCTACAATAACAAAACATCAAATGGATTCTGCAAAACTAACTGCACTACTCAGAATTCCCATCCAGACCGTGGCAATAGATCTCCCTACCGTTATTGGGGTCAACATCGCTTTGATTCGAGTCGTCTGGTCAAGTGACATCGGTCGGGCGCGAGGTAGCCATAATTTAATAATGGAACACCGATAATAGACTCATCGATGGATATGACATTGAATCAATCATTCGATTGACATCCGACAAATATCTCTATCGATCGAATTTCGAGAGCTTCATCAATATCAATAAAAAACCAGATAACGCTATCAAAACAATTGCATAAAGCTTTATAGATGTTAATTTCAATAAATAACTTTGAACTGTGTAAATTACGCTTTATAAAGAACGCGATGACCCCACTCGAGGAAGTAAACAATATATCGGTTATAAACAATGGAATATTTCTTGTAAAAGTCTGTTATTATGTAGCCAACTTACATTTAATAGGTGGAGCTGTCGATGTCAAGACCATTCAGGTCGCTGAGCCACCTGTAACAAAAACAAGGACATTATTGATGAGATTTTAATGAATGCAAAGTCTTGTAATTTGTCGATTCGAAGGCACGTAACAAAGCAGTATATGTGGTTAAATTCGAAGAGCTATGTTATAAAACTAGCCTCTTTTGAGCTCAGACAAAATACATAGCCAAAATGTCTAATGAATAATTTCAGTATACCAAAAGACAGACACATATCTCATTGTAAGTGACACTTAAAACTGTATTCGATTTCACCTAACATATGGCACATGTCGGGTGACTTGTGAAACGAAATAACTTGCAAATATATTCGTTTACGAATAGTCTACGAAAACAGAACCTAGAGTATGCAATGACATTCTGAAGATGCCAAGAAATGCTTTGCAAACTAAGATAAGGCATTTCATAGATGCCATGGGATGCTTCAGAGTGTACAGATAAGATTTAGAAGTCCAGGAGTTTAAATAAAGATAGGAGGTGATTAAAGTAAATGCATTAAAAGGAATTCAACTAAAAGCTTTGGCATTACTAATGATTTAATCATGAAATGTTGATTACTAAATCTCTATCTGTCTTATTCCTGCGATCATGTCAGCGAGAAAGTGGACGTGCCAGCTCATTCTCTGGCTTACAAGTGATAGTATGATTCACTCACGCCTACTTCGTGAAATTTGATATAGAAGCTATAACATGGATCTTCGATACGCATTAAAATTAAAGAATACTATCCATTTTCTTGGTTTCCTTATTTTGTGAGAGCATAAAGTGGAGGCTCCTCGGTCAAGTGTCAAGCATGAGGACGAAAAATAAATAAAAACGTCAAGTACGGATTCGCTATGCGACTGAGATGTAAAGATTATGCATCTAATACTATCGCGAGGCGCGATCTCGCACGATCGCCGCGACACGCCGCGGCTGTCGCGCGGTGGACGCACGACGAAAATTAAAATAATGCAGCTCTGAATTATGAGGCATGCCTCGCCCGGACAACAATATCGGGAACAGCGGTAATGCTAATTCAATAGCGTAATATCTCCGTATCTCGGCGCAGTCCCCCGCGGTCGATCCGCCCGAGATAGTCTACGATTGCGCCGATATGGTTTTGTTCGTGATTTATTTTGGTCGCTCCCATATAAGTACTGTATACGGCAACAATGGGCCGCGAGTTGGATTTACGACAGTCGATTTGGTAGCGATAAAAGATTTAACTGCGTTCAGGAAAGGGTTGTAGAGGCAGCCTATGCATTAGCACTAGGAGAGTACAAGGGTCCAGATCTGGTAACATTGGAATAAATGAATTGGGAAATAATGGCCCCCGTATAAGGTGTGGGATGGCGCCAACGAGTCCAGGTGAAGTCGACGCAGTTGAATATATCGGCATAACGATAATTCAATTCACCGCTAAAGAGCAGTTTAGTTTGTTTTCCGCTATCCTTATAAGCCGTAAGCACCAATAAAATACATTTGATCTCACAAACGATTTTACTGGTACATAAAATTAAATCGAATAAGATTATAGGTAACTAGGTTATGTAGAAACCTGGGACAAATAATGATTTTCAAGCTACTTTTGGTGATGCGAGCAAATGAGATCATTTGGCATCATCGACAGGCTATTTACAATGTTTATCCGAGAGTCCAATAACTTATCGTTTGGCGAACATATTTAAATAGCTCAATTTATTCGATGTCATATTGCCGTTTGATATTTCGCGCATAAACATCGTAGCCTGGTCCAGTTAGATCGCACTACATACTAACGAGTGGCGCGATAAGTGGCGTAATGCACTGACATAAACTTTAATTAGATACAACGTGTATAGTGTATACGTTCATTGGGCCAAACATCTATCTCGGGATGTCTAAGGTGATCTAATGCGTAATTGCGCTACGCTAAAAGTCTGTACAGCGCTATATTTGCAATGCAGTACAGTATGTGTGCCTGTGAATGACATATTTTTATACAGATAAATGCAAATACAAATAGGTAGATAAAATATATAAGTAGGACCGGCAGTGGCACAATAGGGTCAACAGCCTGGCATTTTATACTTGCTGCAACAGGTGCGTCATTGCAAAATAACATTCTCTATCCTTCTCAACCAAAGTAGAGACACTGCATCCATTGTTATAACTAGGAATATTTTGCTACCAAGCTACATAAGGATGTATGAGAATCCCGCTATACAAAATTAGTAGTTAACTCGACACAAGACTCTTGACCTTTCCAACAAAAACTGCTGCTGCCGACACGTTGCAATTAGCCACTAGAGATACGTCGGATTTATTTCTGGCTGGCAATAAATCAAACACTATTTTTGGTCTGGTTATGCTTTGGGTCAAATTGGAGTATTTATAAAAAGTTTGTAACTTATGACCGAGATGGTTGGATATAGAATAAAAGCTCTACATTTTGATGTTTCCATTTGAGCTCTAATACCTATGAAATGGTACAGGATTATTCCCACCGCTGTAACTTCTGTGTAGCCAGAATCTACAGCTTGACCGCCAATAAAAGTCCAACCAGTGAAGGTCAAGTTTGTCCCGGAGGAAAGTTTAAGGCCTGTCATTGAACCAGCAACGAAATTACAGTGTGAAAATTAAACAAAAATAAATTGAGCTAGATTACCGATTTGAATCATTGTCATCGATTAAATTTGACCATAGAGTCCATAGATCACATCTTTATAATGTTGTTTCATTACTTTCCCGGAAACATTGTATAATGTAATGGTAATGACCATTTAAATAAATAAAAAGCTGTGAAAACCCTTATTCAGCAGTGAAAGTTGTTTCTCACATCATTTGAGCTAAACAGTCCATCAAATGAAGCGATTGAATCTGCGCACAAGTTTATCTGATGTCGCGCGCAATTTACGCTAATTGTGGAAACCGTAGGAAAGCTTACCTTAGTTGGTGTATTAATAGAAATGCTGCTTAGTTAGGTGACATCTTAAACTGTTGTAGCAGTTAATGCTACCTTAACTTTACTTTGTACGGGTAGTTACTTTGATTTAACGGGAATATCACCTTTCGTTCCCACCGCTGCAACTCCTGTGTAGCCAGGATCTACAGCTTAACTTTGCATAGATGAATTGGATGATTTTGATTTTAAGATCTAAGTCGTTTACTTTGTGCTCGACCAGCATTAGAAAGAAATACTGAATATGTGAAAACGAAAAGCTACGGTGCCCATTTCCTGCAATATGCGCCAACTGCTTCGAAGTCTACCTAAAATTGATGGTATTGACAAGATTTACCATATCTTTACAATTCAAAACAGCATCACTATTACGACCACTATCGGAAAAATCTAGTTTTACATCCGCGTTAATATCATCAACTCACAAATCAATCGGACACGCGAGATTCGCATGATAGTGGCCATTGACTCGCTATCGGAGGAAGCGAACTATCACGGCTATTACTATCGTTGACACTGCGACATTACACGCGATCATGAGAGAACACATCGAAATTAATTACCCGACATCACACGCTTAATTCAAAGCAGTAAAGGTTAAAATCGACGTAAAGCTTTCGCCCACCGAACACGGCTGTGTGAGATACTTGCGTTGATAGCGTAAAATCTTCAGGAAGGCACATTTTCATCTTGATACATATTTCTCTGATTCGCGTATTGTTAAGCTTGGGATAAACAAACTGTGCGTGTTATTTATCAATCGTTAGACATGGACAATCTTTAGCACCAAGTCATGATGACATTCACATTAGTGTGATAGATGAGTTATCGGTTTCTCATAGTTGAAAATAACTTTAATAACAAGCTTCCAAGTACTTCCAACTGCGACTACCACCCACAAGATGGACCGAAGACCTCATAATGGTAGCGGGAAGGCGCTGGATGCAGGCCGACACCAACCGGCCATTGTGGAAATCATGGGGGGAGGCCTATGTTCAACAGTGGACGTCCTGTGGCTTAAATGATGATGATGATGCTGAACTGCGACTTCGTCCTCTCAGTTTTCTAGAAGTACTTTTACCTAGCCCACTAACTAAAGCTTTTGTGGTATTCTGATAGTGAAACTATAGCTATGTTTATAAGATCAAAGTAAAGTACTAGCAAATAATATTATAATCTAAGATGCAGTCCAGTCCGGATCGTAGACCAAGTCCCACGGTGTAGGAAGGATTGAACGCTTGTCTTCAACCTCGGAGTAAGTTACAGACCGGTCGATAGATGCTAATTAGATAAGAGCAACTGCAGTAAATAAACATTTCGCCAACAAATTGTACGACGCTACCGCACATGTGGATGCTGTTACATCACTGAACGTTTATGTAATCGCTATCGGCGGTGAATATCTCAAGTAATTAGCGTAAATATATTGCAATGTTGATTTAATTTCATTTTAATTCTAAACATTGAAGGAAGTTATTACAAACAAGTGTTGAGCTCTACAAAAGTACCAGATAATAGGTACTTATTTTTGGCCCTGTGACAATTATGGGGCGCCTGTAAATTTCATTTTTGCTTGAGTACTTTCTTGGCACCTTTCACAACACTTTTTTCACATACCGAAAGCATACCTCAAATTATTGACACAATTTAGTATCGCCTACTTTTCAAGGCTTAAGACGGATTACGGTCAACCATAACCATACTCTACAAGCTGATAATTTTGTGAATAAATATACAACTAAAAAGAGAGTTTACTCACCTGCCCTGATTTCAGCACGAAGATAATTCTGAATTTAATTATCGAAGGGTTTGAGAATACGCGCCGTGCGCCGGCGCCGGCCGCCAACTATGCGCGCGGCGTGTGCCAAAAACACTAGTATTTGTGTTAACTGCACTATTGCTCGTCATTACAGTATAGATTTTATCATTCTAGCCCGACCGGATAAAAATGTTCGCTCAATTACACATTTTTCTGTTTTATTTTAAGTGATAAATCTTATACAACGATCCTATTTATTGTTATAGTCTGCTGTCTACATTTGTTAAGGTATGTTCTAATAATGTTTAATGGTTTGATAAATATGATT